TACATCTAAAAAGTGTGTAGCTTTTTAGATGCAGCCAGCTATCAACAGCACAATCTCATCTAAAAAGCAACACATAGCAGCCACCATATAAATACCAGATACGAAAAAGCCCAGAGCACACAAAAAAGTTTCCCGAAGATGGCTCCAGCATGAGTCCAAAATCTTCTCCCGGTGACTAACTCAGATTGGATCCTGCAGTGTCTTCCCCTGTCAGAATTGATAGGGGTGTTATTTTCTGTTTGGTAGTTCCGTGATTTACAGTTTGATTCTTTCTGGCCTTTTTGTTTCCTTTTTTTATTGTCTCTTTTGAATGGTATATAAAAGTTGTTTACCTCTATGTGCCTGTTGAAGGCTGATTTGCCTAAGTGTCAGATTCTAGGAATTTCCTATAACTTGGTCTACAATGTTCACAATTTTCCATATGAAACTATGGTTAAGTCTATCTATGTGTTATGAAATTATGAAGTTGTCATTGTGTTTTCTAGTTGCTAGTAGGTGTTCATGTATGCACTCTTTTAGCATACTGTAACAGCTGCTATGTACTGTAGAACAGGCAGGCAGATGACTCAAGGACTTCACAGTTCAACCCCAGGCTACAAATGTTCTCTTCTATTAATTTAACCTTTATTCATTGTCCCATATGATCAAGCTATCTCAGCATATTTTGGATGGATTTTTGTTGCACTGTTAATTCACTTTTGTGTATTCCACATTTGTTCTTCGCTTTCTTTCTTCTACAACATGCACTTAAGTACCCTGGGATCATTACATTCCACTTCGTTATGTTTCTCCTCACATATCCATCTCTTATTTCCATGTAACAAATTGGACAGAAGCACATATACTATTCCCCTATTTCAATAAACATTCATTTCTCACAATGGATCACAGACTACTCACTACAAACGTCCCTTGTACATACCAGCAGAAAGCCATTAAACAACTTCAGAAATATCCTCATTATTTTCTTATTTAAAGTTCAGTGCTAAACCACTTGCTAAGTATCATATTTATTTTTATTTTCATGCATGCCTTGCTTTCATATAGATTATTACTCTATTCACAACCAACTTTCAGTTCCATATTTGTTCAAAGTGTAAATCCACACGTTTACTTTCTTTTTCCAGGTTCTTCTTGCATACTTGCATTCATAGCATTCATTTCAATTCCACTCCTCGAAATATCACTATCATTCTCATTCAAATCAAATTACTATTTCTAGCATGCCCTCACTTCACTTTCATTCCAAATCATTCATCACTTTTATTTTTAATTCCATTCACTCAGTTGAAGCCGGCTTGTTTAGCTCTTTTCATCCATTTCCCAAACATTCCCCTCAAAATAGCTCTGTATTTCCTCTCCCCTTTTTAATCTTCACACTTATTTTTTCCAGCTATTTTTTCTTCTGCACACACATTATACAGTATTTTTCTCTCATCTCCAGTTTTTGCAGCTATCATTCTCCTTTATGCATTTTATTCTCATTCAAGCTTCTTACCCTCTTCCCTCCACCAAGCAAGCTGCTTTATATTTTGCGTTAGCATAACTCCGCATGCTTCTGACACAGTCTTGCATAATTATTTACACTCCATTTCACGCTTCTTCCATTTCTTCTTTATATACACTCTTTCTATCCATTCAACTGGGAGATCAAATCTATTTTTTAACATTTTTATAGAATATTCCTGGACTAATTCTACTTCTATAATAGTGTTTTTTGCTTACTTTTGTACTTAATCTCTCAATATTTCATCATATGTGCGTTAGTAGGCTTACGTTTAAACTCCATACTCAGAACAAGCAGATATTTTTTTCTAATTACACAGTCCCCAAAGTATCACCATTCTCATTCATTCCTTCATCTCCAAATGGCCCTATATTTTCTAATCTCAGTCCTACCCATCCATTCATTTAATCTATTCCCCCCCCCCCTTTCTGGATTTCATTCATTCAGAACATTGGACAGCTCATTCCTGATCATTCAATTAACCCTGCTCACTGGAGCATAACATGTAACATAGACATCTCCTTTAGATGTCTATTTTCATATGTACCCAGAACAATGTAGATAGCTTTAATGTATACTTTTAATATATCTTGCTGACATACCAATACTACCTGACATACTACTAAATGTTAAAGACTAACATATTTAATTATGGACAACTAGAATTCATTTGAATTAGGGTGTCATTTTCTAATCAGATCTGAAGGGTTTGTATATTCAAAAAGAGGAAAAAATGAAATTATTATCATAAAAATTGGCATTGTACAGACCCATATTTTTAAACATACAGTGTGAAAATATATAGTGTTGAAGATGAGAGAAGATGAATATGTAAGCTTTAGCAAAGGTCAAAATTTGACAAAGTGATAGCTGGGTAAGACTCGCCATTTACTGATGTAGGCTTTGTGAGAGAAAATATGATTGAAACAGAGACAGATTTCTGGGTTTGGGAGAAAAATTGTGTCATCTAGGCAGCAAGCTCTAGGGAATAAATCAAAACAAAAATACAATCAGAACAAGGCAGCACCAATTTTTCAAAGATGGATTGTTTTAAATATTTTGCATGTAACAAATAATGAAAAGGGAAGAACATGCTTGTACTGTCAGAAAACTATGGATAGAAACCAAAGTTAGAATTGTTGGAATCAGCAATGGAAATAAATAAGTTGTCTTAAGACACCTTCTTGAAACTTAAATAATAAGACTAAGAGTGAGTGTCACTCAATAAAGGCATTATGAAAAAGGCTTGCAATATAGAAACAATTAAAAATTTAAATGTATATAAGAATGTCGTAATTAGCTGTAAAAACAGAAGAAGATATTGTATATCCTTCCTCCGGAAAGATAAAAACATGCAGTATTGTGTTCCAAAAACACAATAGGTTGAGTCAGCCTCAATTTTTAATATATTGGAAATGCAAATGTTTAGAACAGTTTACATAATTCTCATAAAAACATTGAGACAATTCTTTAATTCTGAGGAAGAGAAACAAATAGCACTTAGACTTATATATCACTTCATAGTGCTTTACAGCAGAGGTCCCGAACCTTTTGAACACCAGGGACCAGTTCCGTGAAGAGAGGTTTTTCTGCGGACCTACAACTGTGTGGTTTTGTGTGGTGCCTACAGATGGAGCTTTGCTTGCTTGTATGGACTGGTTGCTTGCATGCCACGGCCCGGTACTGGTCCACACACTGGGGGTTGGGGACCCTTGCTTTACAGCACTCTCTGGATGGTTTACAGTGTCAGCATGTTATCCCCAACAATCTGGTCATCGTTTTATCACCCTTGGAAGACTGGAAGGCTGAGCCAACTTTGAGCCCTGTCAGGATCGAACTAACTCTGGGCAAAGTTAGTCTGCAATAATCCATTTTAACCACTAGAAGGGGCAGAATTCTTAGGGTTGCAAAAGGGTGCCAAATGGAATAACACCAATTTTTCCCTTCATTAAGAAAGGGTGGCTGATATTAACTAGGAAAAGGTTAGAAATGTTTGAAACGATAAGAATTGAGATATGCTCTGTAACAATAATGGACTAACATCTGAATCATCCATGTAGTGCAGGGGTGTCAAACTCGCTGTGTCATGTGACGTGTCACAACAGATCATGACTTTTTTCCCATTGCCAGAGCTGGGGTGAGCGCAGCTTCTGCATGATGCATCCGGCCCATGGGCCACCAATTCGACACCCCTGATGTAGTGGAAAAACTGAATTGAATTCTCAGTTACTTCTCTTTTGGGTGTTCAGACTAAGTCATTTAAGCTTTTCCAATTCATTAAATAAGCTTCTTACTCTGTCATATTTTATTAAAGGTGTATTACTAAATCATGTTAGATAGCTAAATATTGCTTTTTTGTGGTATAGGTGAAAGTGAAACTGAAGAATTCTACATTTAATATGTTTGCTCCAAGTTATATAGCAAAATATTTAAAGAGTTGGAATTCATTAGTACATTTGTCCTTACATTTTCCTAAATTTGAATGAGGACCTGATAATCAAGAATTCTTACTAGTATCTTTCTTATTTGCACTGCTCATTTATAAGTACTATAAAACAAATCAAATTGGTTACTATTGATTTTTACTTCTGGTCAAAATGTAGTCTATAAAAGGCTATTAGTACTACAAATTCAGGTACGAAAGAAATATGATTTGAGAAAGGTGGGTGGGGACCCAGATGTTCCATTATAAGTGCACCCTGCTTTCCAGCTGTTGCTGGCAGGGTTGGAGAGACTTGCAGACTTATGAAATCAGGTAAGTTGAACCAAAATGAAAGAGAAGTCAACTTAACATAGAGCTGTCGGTTAGTAGCACAACATCAATGAGCACTTTCTCCCAACATTTCATTAATTCATTAATAATTAATGATAAATGGGAAAATCTTAGAGCTTTTCCATACTGCCACTTTAAGCTTCTTGAATTCTATCCAAAATCCAGCTACAAATAAAGCTGGCATAAGTACTTCATTTCTAGATTTCATCCCCTCTTCCTCATTGAATCAGAAGTTTTACATCCTTGCTTTTTACCATATTTTATGATTCTGATACCAGAAATAATGAAATGTTAGTTCTGTCCTCCAGATTCCTAACCTAGGTATTACTTATTTGTGTCATCTGTACGGAAGATATAATAATGAAAATATTTCTGAAACTCTTCAAGTTTTTTTAATGTTATTACATATATTACATGTATGAATATTCACATGCAAATAGGCAAATACATTACAGCAAAGTAAAACAACTTGATAGCTGTATCTATCATCTACCATGGAAACATGCTTACATCTCTCTGCTATAATTACTAGAAATACTATGATTGTCCACATTATTAAAGTTTAAGTAGATAAAAATTTTATATGTTAGTTAAGATAAGTGCATTAAACTGGCTTTTAAGAATTATTATGCTGACCAAATATCATACAAAGTATTATTTAGAGCTTTTAATCTATACTTTTTAAAAATCTGATCATTTATTCTGTGATATTATTTATAGATCCAACGCGATTTGTAGTGGCACCTACTAGCATGGATGTCACTGCTGGTGAAAGTATTCTTCTGCCTTGCCAAGTATCTCATGATCATCCACTAGACATTGTTTTTACTTGGTCATTTAATGGGCGTCTGATAGACTTTGAAAATGATGGAGATCACTTTGAAAGAGTTGGAGGGGTAAGTATTATTATTAGTAATTGTTGCAGACTTCATCATGGGTGTTGAAATATAGTAATAAAATACTGGACTGTTTGCTGATATGTTTATAGAAACAGAGACTATGTATATTGTCTGTCTGCTCAGTTGTTAACCCTAAGTCTGCTCACACTTATGTTCTCAAATCATAGCCGTTTATAACTTTAGCAATAAAATATTTGACTTCTCTAATTTTTATGTTACTATAGTAGCTTCTTGATCACATGATCCAAGTACTTATTTCTTGGAATATTCTGCTTTCTATGTAATGTAAATGTAAAACTGTGCATTCGGGAGGAATCAAATGGATCGTTATTTCTTCAGTATTTGTCAGTTTTGTCAACGAAATTAATTCTCATTTTATTAAAAAAAATACTGCAAACCATAACTGAAATCTCAGAGAGAAACTGACTATTTCTTTTTATAGAACACTAATATATAAGACAGCTGTACCAAACTCTAAAATGAGAGAGACAAAGTTGTTCTTTGAACTGAATATCAGAACATAAAACTATACCTAAGATAGTTGCCCTATGTAGGAATGTTCAGTTGTGCAAAAAGGTTCAAAGTAGCTGCTAAAGTTCAAACAGTTTCCATCTCCCCTTAGTTTCCTTCTACAGCAGGAGTCTTCAATCCCCAGGCCTCAATCTGCTGGGCCTTTGAACTATTTGGAACTGGGCTGTGAAAGTGGTGCGTGAAAGCATGTACTCACACATCCCCATTTGCGCAAGCATTGGGCGAGCGTGTGCGTGCATGCTCCATTTGCATAAGCAGCAGGTGTGTGTACCCACTGCTTATGCAAATGGAGCTGCATGTGTGCGTGCCCACCCTTTGCACAGAACCCTCTCCTCTCCCCCCCCCAACCAGGCCACAAAGCCAGAGAGGTTAGGGAACTATAGTTTACAGGCTATGTGATTTTGCAGATTGGAAACTTTGGTCAACATTCTTAGAACTTAAAACTAATCCCTTCCAGAAAAACAGCAATTTCAGGAAGAAAATAAGTTTTATCTCTATGCAGGGAGCATTTGAAGCATTCTTTATGATAATACATATAAATATGTTAAATAAACAAACAATGTATAGAATAGCCATTATAAAAAAGGTGGAAAGGTCAGAATGTTTCATGCCATAGGCCAGTGATGGTGAATCTTTTAGAGACCGAGTGCTCAAACTGCAACCCAAAACCCACTTATGCATCGTCAGGTGCCGGGTGGGTGTGGCCCACTGGGTGAGTGTGGCCCACTGGGTGGGTGTGGCCCACTGGGTGGGTGTGGCCCATTGGGTGGGCGTGGCTGCTGTAGTAACAGCAGACTGGGTGGGACTAAAAAGTTCAATCAATCAATTCCAACTTTGCAAGATCTTTTTTTTCCCACGAGAAGTTGAAATTGACTGATTGAACCTTTTTTTATATATATACACGGCGGTGGAGGCCTAAAGTGAAAAGGTTTTATAAAACCCAGCTGAAGGCCTAGGACTGGGGCGACGGCAAGCATGCCCACAGAGAGGGCTCTGAGTTCCGCCTCTGGCACCCGTGCCATAGGTTCGCCACCACTGCCATAGGCTCTAATTCTAAGAAAGAATATAATGTTAATCAACATAATACTAGATCAGATGGAAATATTTTGTTTTATCTTCTAAACTAACCCAAGTTCTTTATTGAAATCAATGGTAGTTCACTATATGTCAAACGTTATCTTTTTAAAAATATATATATTCTGATTTTTAATCTAATCCCTCTTTTTGTAAGTTCAAACATAACAAAGAATTTCAAGTACTATTGAAGGGATCTTCAAACTTGGCCCTTTTATGACTTGTGGACTTCAACTGCCAGAATTCCTCAGCCAGCATGTCTGGCTGAGGAATTCTGGGAGTTGAAGTCCACAAGTCATAAAAGGGCCAAGTTTGAAGACCCCTGTACTATTGCATGGCCACTCTCAGTGTTTGCATGAGTACACAGAATATTTCTGATGTTGCACAATCACACCGAAGCTATAATTGAATCCATACAATTGCTAAGTGGATACAGAGGTATTGCATTTGAAAAAACAAATGATATTGTTCTATGCCAAGTAATGCAAAAACCTCTAGACTGCAGTCTTTGTGTAGTCCTTATACAAATATGTGGTCCATCTAAATCATGAATGTGCCACAAAGCTCTGGAAACTACTGTAGATGTCTCATCTTTGGGTTAAGCTAATACAGTGGTTCTTAACCTGTGGGTCGGGACCCCATTTGGGGTCGAATGACCATTTCACGGGGGTCGCCAAACAACGCAGTCTGCCATTTTTTCCCCCTTTTCCTTAGCTGTGCTACTCCCTTTTATTCTATTGGCTTTTGAAAGCCAATAGAATAGACTCTCTTGAATAGAGTCTAATTCTATTGGCTTTCAAAAGCCAATAGGAACTGTCCAGGCTGTCTCTGCCCTGCTGAGCCCACCAAAAGTCCCATTCTGCAAACAGTGCTGCAAGTTGTCTGTAGCAAAGGTGAGCTGTCTGGAAGTTTCCACCCCTCCCTGCTGAGCAACTACTAAAAATGTAAGAAAAGGAGGGCCAGGGGTGGGAGGTGGGAGGCCAGCAGGCACAGGGAGGGTTGCTGGCGTGCGTGGGGCCTGGCGGGTGCCTTACTTCCCTTGGGGTGGGCCAGCTGGTAGCCCAGCCAGTAGTCAGCCTACTCTGTCTCTGCCGCTTGCCAGCTACGCCTCGGCCGGTGCAGGGGGCGGCACCACGCATGCGCGGCACTCCCTGGCAGGGAAAGTCCTCGACTTACGACCGGTTGGGTAGTCCTCGACTTACGACCGGTTGGGTAGTCCTCGACTTACGACTGGTTGGGGTCGCGGCATTAAAAAGGTTGAGAACCACTGAGCTAATAGATGAAGATACGCAGAAAACAGATGTCCAAATACCAAGGAAGGTTGTAAACTGGACGTTTAGGTAGAACATTTAAAAAAAAACTCAAACCTTTTTTGCATACCACATTAATGGTAAAGCCCTTGATTGACCTGAAATTCTGTTGTCCTTTACAAGTAGCCATACTTTCCTGTTTTAATTCTGAGGAAGTTCACACATTTTGCATTATTTATTTTACTGGATTTAGTTTTTATTTGTAGACCACCACATTCTCAGTAGACTCCAAGTAGTTTACATAAGTCATGCCTTGCACTTTCATCAGTTGATGTAAAAGAAATTCATTAGCCAAGTGGCCATCATATGATAATGCTATTCAGAGCTCTTTATGAAGTGGTTGTAACATTTTTCCCTACTTTATCAGCAGGATTCAGCTGGTGATTTGATGATCAGAAGCATCCAGCTGAATCATGCTGGAAAATACGTCTGCATGGTGCAAACAAGCGTGGACAAACTATCAGCTGCTGCAGACCTGATTGTAAGAGGTATTTGAATTTTGTTTGCTGTTGTTGTTGTTGCAAAACCACTGCAAATAATAACATAAAGAACAGTTCAAAAGGTTTTTGTTACTTCAACTAATAATCCAAAAAACACCATAGATTGCCTATACAAGTACGAGAGAGAAGTGTTTTTAATATATGCTAATAATTATTATAGTTAGGTAAAGAATATTGCTTTGAATATTGTGTAAAATATTGCTCAAGGCATGAATTGTCTCCATTTTATATGTGTGTGGGAGGAGGATTGCTTGTTTTATTTGTTTTTTTATGGCATGCAATGTGCAAATGGGGTTGACTGCAACCAGCATGCATGATTCCAGTTGCTTTGGCAGCAATAATTTGCCTGTAGCCTTTTTGCCCTCTCTTCTATTCTTTCCATCTCACACTCTCTGCCTCTGACTTCTGATGACCTCTTGGTCATGTTACTGTGACCAAGTACTGTGACCAAGTACCAAGTACTGGGTCACGTTACTGTGGCAGAGGAACTTTGCTCTGTTGCTCTCCACCTTTTAAGCATTGCTTGGTAAACATACTGCTACTACAAAATGCAAATAATGGTGCTTAAAAAAATCAGTGTGACCCCAAATCATTGACCTTAGTGCCCTATGTTGGCTACATCAGTTATGCAGTCACCTCAGGGCAAACCCTGCCTACTGTGCTTGACTCCTGCAGGTAGTTTAGTTTGCTTGTTTGATATAGTCAAGAGAGATTTATACGCTAAAAGCTATTCATTAATCTAGTGGCAATTTATTGTTGTCCCAGTGGAAGGTTAATGTGGCTTGAATATTTGGGGGAAAGCTGTAACAAGTAAACAATATTTGTTCTTAGAATCTAATTTCCCTGAGTGCCATTTCTATCAAATGCCTCTTTTCTGAATAGTCTGATCTCACAAGTATCAAACATTCACAGAGGGGTCAAGGTGGACAAGTAGTAAAACACACATGCCACAACATTGCAATGCAAAATCTTCCCCCTCACTTTCATGAGACACTGCAATGCAAGGATGAAAGGGGCAGAGCTTATGTGAGATTATAATACACAATCCATCCTTTTAGCATCTCTGTGCTTAGGAATGGCTGCACATTTGTCAATTACGTAAACATTGTATATTGTCTTTTGATCATGTAAAAACATTGTAATAAAGAAATTGAACCTTGTCAGTTGCAGTGAAAAACAAAAACTGAATACAGGTAGTCCTCGACTTATGACCACAGTGGGGATTGGTTAAGCAGTGCAGAAGTTAACAAGGCATCATATGACTGCATCTAATTTTGTAATCGTTTTTGTCACAATCACATTAGATATCCCATGACCATAACTTGCAACCATTCTTTTTGGCTCTCCTTTTGATTTGTTTGTTAAAAGCTGGCTGGGAAAGTCACAAATGGTGATCAGGTGACTACAGGATGTTGCAATTGTTGTACGTAGCTGGGTTGTCAAGTGCCTGGATGGTAATGATCAAGTTAGATGACCACATGGTGTGAGGATCAGTCCTAAGTCATTTTTTTCAGCATGTTATAATTTTAACTAGTGGCTAAACAAATGATCATAAGTTGATGACTATATGTAGAAGAGACAAAGAAAAAAAATCAATATACTGATTCTCACTGTAGTCCAAAGACTTATGCAAAAAGCTATATTTTTCATTGCTCAGGGACTGGTCATCGGTGCAATCTGAATCTATTTCAGGAAGAATTGGCATACACGAGGTTCCATCCATTGAAGCAGAAGTGGGGAGCCTTTTATGACTTGTGAACTTCAACTCCCAGAATTCCTGAACCAGCATTGGTCATAAGTTGACAACTATATGTAAAAGAGGCAAAGAGAAAAAGCCAGCTAGGTGTATTGATTTTTCTCTTTACCTCTTCTACATATAGTAGTCAACTTATAACCATGCTGGGTCAGGAATTCTGGGAGTTGAAGTCCATAAGTCATAAAGGGGCCATGGTTCCCCACCTCTGCATTAAACAGTGTCATCTGATGAAATCTAAGACCCATCCATTGGAAGTATTTATCTCAAGAGTTTAGTTTCACCCTCACCCTTTTAAAAGATTTCTTAAAACCTACCTGTTCTCCAGACCATGTGGTAAGACCCTTGTATATTATATGACTTTTTTAAAGATTAGTATGTGTTTTTTCAGATGCCTATTATTCTTTTGTCTGTATTTTTAAACTTTTAATACCATAGATTGTCTAGATTCAGATAGTCCTATAAATTTAAGCAAAGGAGCCTTTTAGAAGGGTGTTATATTGTTGAGGGGACACTATTGGGAAGCCATCTTTTATAACCCCATCCACAATATTTGAAACAGATAATGGAGCGCCCATTGCTGATTGCAAACTACAGTTCACCTCATATGGAAAAAGACAGTTCCCAAATAAAAGTAGTCCTCAACTTATGAACATTTATTCAGTGACCATTCAAAGTTACTGTAGCGCTGTACAAAGAGATGTATGACTAGTCCCCAAAGTTATGGCCATTGAAGATCACATGATCAAAATCCAGGCACTTGTGACTTACAACTCTTCCACCTACCTATTTTCCTCAAATCGATGTCCTTTTTGCCCCCCCATTCCCTCGCTGACCTTTTGTCATCTTTTTGCTCCCACTGCTCACCAAGCATGCCCGGCTTGGCCCTTCGTGAGGCAGCTACTGGCTTTCTTTCCCAGGTTGCTCCTGGCAGTCTCTTCTCCAAGAGACCTGGAGAAGATAGCCTACATGGCCAGCAGCTGCGTTGCAAAGGGCAGAGCAGGCACACCTCATCAACAGAGGAAGTAAGATTTGACAAAGACCAGCTATGGCAGCAGAGTAAGGACAATAGAGACCTCAGAGTGCAGCATGAAGAGGAAAGACAGCTGTAGCTGGGACTTGATTGGGGTGGCTACAGCTTTGTTATTGTGTGCTGGTCAAGCTCTGGCTGGGATTCATGCTGCAAAAGGCTTCACTCAGGGGCTTCTTGCAACCCCCAGAGCCATGGTGTGCCAAAAAGCCCCTTTCTGTTGCACTTCTGGGCTAGCCTGGGGCATCTGAGGCTTCCAGAAATTGCTGTGGCTTCATACTATGCTATAACTCAGGGGCTTCTTGCATCCCCAGAGCTGTGGCATGCCAAGAAACTCTTCACTGGGAGTATGGCAACACCTCCACAGCTGCATGATTCTGGGACCCCTTGCCTTCCTGCAAGGTAGGAGGTAGGGTGACCAAAAGGGAAGAGATGGGGAGAGAGATAAACAAGTGGAGAGAGTTTGAGGCAGCTCTTTATCTCACTGAGGCTTGGGGTCAGGAGGGACATAGGCCAGGTGGGTTTGGATTGGGGTGGGTCCTCCACGAACAGGATTTAACGTCAGCAATGGGAAGTGCCACGATTACTGTTGCTAAGATAGGCGATGAGATGACATCTGACTTTATGACTGTGTCACTCAGCAATGGAAATTCTGGTCTCAATTGTGGCTGTAAGTTGAGGATTGCCTGTATGAGACTCCAGGTAATGTTTTGTACCTCCTCAGTATAATATATATGGGAGCAAAGCTGACAAAACAGAAACGTGGGTCTGCTATACTCAGTTCTTAAATAAAAGTATTGATTTTTATTAAATGCAATAAATAACACTGTATCAATCAGGCAAATACCCTGATCATGTATTACTCACATTTATTTTTGGAAGACTTCCTAGTCTAGTCTAGCTATTCTAGAGTAGCTGGGAGGTGGGAAAATGGAGGGCATGTTCATTGTCCATTGAAAAAGGCAGCTGCAGTTTATCAGCTGCTCCCTCATGGAATTAAAAGATATATTGTAGCTTTAGTAAATGCATGCTCCACTTAATGAGAACAAGGTTCAATGAACAGTTTAAATACTCAGAAATTAGGCTGCCACATGTTTAATATCTGTAATACTCGAAGTTCTCAAGTATGTACATCCTTTTGGATGAAATAATCTTACATTTTAATAGGAGTCTTTTAAAAGAAAATGCATTACAGAGGTCCGTGAACATAGTGAATTCTTGCATCTGGAGTTGTAGGATTTTTTTTTTAATGCTCCATTTTCTAGCCACACTGCACCATCTAGTGGATAAAAGGGAACACCAGCCAAACTTTCTTTTCTATTACTGGTATTCATTCATGATGAAAAACATACGTTTCCTTAATCAAACAAATGAGTTAGAACCTAACTTAAGTCAAAAACTCACTACTCATTGTAACTGACATTTCATTTAAGTGTACAAATTCAGTTGCATCAAATTCGGCAAAATAAACTTAAAAAAGGACTAAAGAGAAATTTCCTAACAGTGAGAACACTTAACCAATGGAATGGCTTGCCTTCAGGAGTTGCTGGAGCTCCATCACTGGAGGAATGTAAAAAACTAGACTATGGCTGTCAAACCCGACATGTGACGTGTCACGATGTATCAAGACTTTTTTTGCATTGCCAGAGCTGGGGTGGGGCACAGCCTCCGCATGATGCAACCGGTCCACGGACCAGCAGTTTAACACCCTGGACTAGACAGACATTTGTCTGGAATGATATAGGTCAGGGGTAGGCAACCTTGGCTCTTTTATGACTCGTGGACTTCAACTCCCATGGCTGGCTCAGGAATTCTGGGAGTTGAAGTCCATAAAAGAGCCAAGGTTCCCTACCCCTGGTACAGGGTCTTCTGCTTGAGCAGGGGGTTGGATTAGAAGACCTTCCAAATCTTAACTCTTTTAAAGCACTCTGTAGCACCTTAATAGAAGCTAATTTGTTTAGTTAAATGTAAGCTTTCTATTAAAGTCGTCATTTTTACAGTTTTCAGCACAAACCCCATTTAATTTGATGTGTTACATTTTAATTTGATGTGTTACTATGGAATCTACTCTTGGAAAGACTGTGCTGGGTGCTTCCAGCAAACACATTCAAACTATTCTTTCTCACAGCTGGTGAATCTTCTTTAAGCAGCCATTTTAAAAAGCAGCCGTGTGAAAGATATATAAGATTATATACCACAATATACTATACACACAATCCGTAATGATCAATAGAGAGAACTCTTATAGGAAAAGAATCATCATGATGAAAACTTAACTTATAATCATAATCTGGTGCATGTTTACTTAAAGAGTGAATCCCACTAAATTCAAGGGGTTTATTTTTAAATAAGTGCAGCCTAAGGTGACATTTAGAGCATTTCACAATGTTGTTACTGAAATTAAGTAATACATCTTTTGCAAGCAGAGTCCAACATATATATTTAGTAAACTAAATGTGTGTTATTTAGTAAACTAAATACATATTTAAAAAACAAATATATTACATAGCAATTTGTGTTCATAATAAAAGTCAGAACTGTTAGAAAACCTTGAGAAATTGCATGCTTGTCAATAATTGATTTATGGAATATATATGTACAGTTCAAACTGTATTGTTAAGACTTATTTAATACTGTATGACAAAGTTCCTGACAGTATAGCCTGTAGTATAAAATAAATAAAAAATTAAATGTTAAATCTACTTTATTTTTAAAGTTTCATTTTCAATCTCATTTTGAAAAGAGCAACTAAAATTGTGACTTCAACTCTCAGTCATCACTATGATTTCACCCTTAAAACAGAGATTTCCCATCTATTTCCTGAGGAATGGAAGACCTCCAGAATGTGGGATATGGGGAAAAGGAATGTAAAAAAACAAAAACAAGGTACCAAAATAGAGGGGAATGGGATGAAGCTTCCATGGGCACCGAAGTACAATTATTGGGCTAATAAACTTACATTGTTCTTCAGAGGCATAGTTTGGTGTAACCAATATAATTCCCAGCTGTGTAACTGCAGGGAGGGCAATTGGCAAACAAGTGATAAGAGATAGAGAGAATGAAAAGTCCTTAGTGCTTCTCATATGCTGATCCTCAGTCAGAAAGGCATTCTATTGGATTTTGGTGAATATCTGAAATGAGAATGTTCCAGATATGGGGAAATCCTCAGTGAATAGATTTGCTCTAATCATATGGCCACTTAGGCAATAGTCCATCTCCTAGTAAAAAGTACAGTGCTACAGGTCAGCACTGAGAGGGGTGCGATGGCTCAGTGGCTAAAGACACTGAGCTTGTCAGCTGGAGAGTTGACAGTTCAGGTTTGAGACTCAAGCTCCATACAACGGGGTGAGCTCCTATTACTTGCCCCAGTTCCTGCAGTTAGAAAACATGAAAATGCGAGTAGATAAATTGATACCACTTTGATGGGAAGGTAACAACGTTCCATGCGCCTTTGACCTATAGCCATACTGGCCACATGATCATGGAAATTGTCTTTGGACAATGCTGGCTCCCTCAGCCAAGAAACGGAAAGGAGTCAGACATGACTAACAGGGAAACCTTTTACCTTCTTACAGGTCAGCAGAAGGTACCCAGGTCAGACAAGACAGTATCCACATCACAGCTTTCATGCAAAAAAACAAAAACAACCCGCTGATACTGTGAAATAACTCATAAAATCATTTTGCTGCCCCCAAATATTTACCATTTCTAAGCTCACTGCCATCTTGCACAAAGAGATAATGTAAAGATGTCATTGAATCTCTCCATTTCCAAGAAGACATGCAAAAATTACACTGGATAAGTGTTTCAGGCTAAAGCACACTTATCTGCAAAGATAAACCACTGAGCCTTTAGGGCAGTGATGGCGAACCTTTTAGAGACCGAGTGTCCAAAAACTGCCCCTTCCCCCGCTCCACCCCCTGCCCCGCTCCCACTCTGCCCCTCATCCCCCACCCAGCCTGCCCACAGAACCACTCACCGCCTCCAGGGCCCACCGCAGATTGCCCAGGCAGCCCAGCAGCGCTATGGCGGTCACGCCCTCTGCCTGCACCCTGCAGCATCAACTGTGCATGATGGGGTGTGAAGGCAGAGTCTTGTCTATGCTGCCTGGCTGCCATGTCCTTGGCTGCGCTGTTCTGCGTGGGCCCTGCTCAGGGGCAACTCTCCTTCAAGGTGCTGCTGGAGAGGAGGGGTCACAGGGGGAGGCGAGGCTGGGGCAACGGCACGTGTGTCCACAGAGAGGGCTCTAAGTGCCGCCTCTGGCACCCGTGCCATAGGTTCGTCACCACTGCTTTAGGGCGTACTTCCCTATGAATGTGAATAAGATTGTATTGAAAGTCTATAGCATTCCTACTGATAACATTCTACATTCAGATGAGAAAGATTTTAGGAATTCAAACATTTTGTATTTTTCACCATTGCAAACGTTCTTTTTCGTTTAAAGTTTATCTAGGTCAGAATAAATTTAGATTAAGAATAAAAATAATTTAGAATAAAGTTTTATAACAGAAGTTATCCCTTAATGCCAAGAATTTCAACTGATCCAAATCAAAAAGATAATGCCCAAAATATCCCAAACATTTCAAGTTTGTTAAAGGTTACAACACCATCACGGGCACTGAAAACTCTGCGGAAGTAGGCAGTGTAGAATGGATTAAATATTGAAATCATTGGGCTACTTTGGACAATATATTTTGCATCTGGATCTCCTGCAGTTCCTTCTACAAAGAACAGATTTTCATAATACCTCTTTTTTCTTAGACTTGAACAGGAAAGTCTTGCAACTCTTCATCTTAAATGTGGACTACTTCTGCAGACTATTATTTGCTATGTATACCTCACTGAGGGGAACCAAAATGTATTTTTGTTTATTTTGGATGTTTCATAACAGGTCCCCCAGGTCCTCCTGAAGCTGTGACAATTGATGAGATAACAGACACTACAGCTCAGGTTTCTTGGAGACCAGGAGCAGATAATCGCAGTCCCATTACAACATACGTTATTCAAGCAAGGACCCCGTTTTCTGTTGGATGGCAAGGAGTAAATACAGGTACACAAGCACTTTAAAGCATACAGAGAGATTTTTTTAAACATTTCTATATACACAAGATGGTCAAGTCGGCATGAATCTATAAAATGTAATAAATAAACAGAAAATACAGCATATATGATGATCTTCAAAGAGAGAATAAGAAAATCAATAATTCCTACAAGTTCATATTCATCATGTTGTTCCTTTCATGGTAAGCAATGTTATACAGTGCACAGCAAAGCATAAGAAATAAGAAAAGAGAAAGAACTATAACTAAATCTAATTTATATCAATTCATTCAATCAAGTTAATTCTTTTAGTATTCTATCCATATTCTTTCACCATACATTCTTTCTTTACTGTCCCAAAGGTGCTTTTTCTTTTTTCTTTTTAAATAAATTTTTATTAAGTACAAAGAAAAAAAAAGGATTAAAAACATTAAACATGGTAAATCGTCTTTGACTGACATCTCAGTCCATATTGTACATTAATTACATATAATATACCTATATACAACTAAACATTTCTAGTCTCTATCTCAATTTATCTCTTTACTGTGACCTCCATTTTTTCCCTCCATCTATAAAATTTATTCCATATTCAATAAAATTCTGTTCCTGATTTTTTAATCTTTTAGTTATCCTATCTAGTTCTGCACAATACATAATTTTCTTTATTAGTGCTTCCCCAGTCAGTACTTCCATTGCTTTCCACTTTTGAGCAAATAGTATCCTTGCTGCTGTGACCACATGGATAATTAAATATGTGTCCTCTTTATTTACATTTTTCTCTAGTATTCCTAATAGTAATGTCTCCAGTTTGTATTGAATGTTTTGCCTAGTCATTTCTATTGCCCAATCCCAGACCATACGCCAGTACACCTGTGCTTCTCTACATGTCCACCATACATGAAAAAAGGTGCCCCTTTCTTTTTTACATTTCCAACACAAAGATGAATATCCGTTATACATTTTGGAGGGAGATGCCATCTGTAAACCATCTTATACAGGTTTTCTTTATATGATGTCGCCACTGTGATTTTGTTATTTCGCTCCTATACTTGCCGCCATTGATTCATATTTATATTACATCCTAGATCTATTGCCTATGTCACCATTGTTTCTTTAACCTGCTCCTCATATAGCTTATGTTCCAACAGGTGTTTATAAATATTCTTTATTTGTTTTTTCTCTGGGCCTAGCAGTATTTTATCTAACCCTGTATCTTGTCTGTTAATTCCCCATTCTTGCTTATCCTTCATGTATCTTGCTTGTATCTGGAGATAAGACCACCACTCCATGTCTATTCCTTGTTGTTTTAGCTCTTGTTTTTGTTTTAAATAACCTTCTTCTGTCAAGATGTCTTTATATATAATAGCTTTGTCTATCCTGTACAAATTGGGGTATGTGACTGCCTCCAATGGCGATAGCCAAGCCGGGGTCTTTGTGTAATATTGATGTTTAAATATATTCCAGCTTTTTATTAATTCTTGCCGAAACTTATGTCTTAAAAAATATTGGTGGTTTCTGCTTTGCCCCATCCATATGTGAGCATGCCAGCCCTGCTGGAGGTCATAACCCTCTAAATGTAAACATCTTTTACTTTCTAAGGTTATCCAGTCTCTAATCCATGTTAGCGCCGCTGCTTGGTAATATAGCTCCCAATCTGGGAACCCTAAATCTCCCCTCTCTTTGGCATCCTGTAGTGCCTTTAATTTTATTCTTGCCTTCTTACCTGACCACACAAATTCTAAGGTTAATTTATTCAGCTCCTTGAAAAATTTCTTGTCTAATTGAATTGGAATATTCTAAAACAGGAATATCATTTTAGGTAAGATGTTCATTTTCACTGTGGCAATTCTCCCGAGTAATGAGAGATGTACATTTTTCCAGTGGTCTAAATCTACTTTTATATTCTTGACCAATTTGCCATAATTGACTTCTTTAATTGATGAGCAGCGAGCTGAAATAACTATCCCTAAATATTTTAATTTGGAAACTACTTGTATACCTAATTTTGCTTGAGGTTTCCTTTTTGTATGTTAGTCATGTTTTTTGTGATAATTTTTGTTTTGTTTCTATTTATTTTCAAACCTGCCAGATCCCCATACTCTTCCAATATTTCGAATAATTTCTGGCCTGATTGTTCTGGGTCTTCTAATATAAATGCTAAGTCGTCTGCATAAGCTTGAAGTTTGTATGTTTCTTTCTTGATCTTAAGTCCTTTAATCTGCTCTTCTTATCTTACTTCTCTAGCAAGAATTTCTAATGTATATATGAATAACAATGGCGAGAGAGGACATCCTTGTCTTGTGCCTTTCTGTATGTTGAATTTATCAGTAGCCTCTCCATTTATTATGATCTTGGCCTTTTGTTCAGAATAAATTGCAGTTATCATGTTTAAAAAATTTTCCCCAACATCCATTGATTTTAGTTGTTGGATCATAAATTGCCAATTAACATTGTCAAAAGCCTTCTGTGCATCAAGAAACAGAAGTGCCACTTGACGATCTCTATGTGATTCATAAAATTCAAGGATGTCTAAAATTGTTCTTATATTCCGCTTAGTCTGCCTGTTTGGTAAAAACCCATTTTGATCCGAATGTATGAAATCAACTAGGTATTTTTTGAATCTCTCCGCCATTATTGAGGCAAAAATTTTATAATCAGAATTCAATAATGATATAGGTCTATAATTTTTTATCCGTGTTTTTTCTGCTTCTTCTTTTGGAATCAATATTATATTTGCCTCCAACCAGGACTTAGGTATTTTAGCATCGGTTAATACTGCGTTGAAAACTTCTAGTAGGTATTGATTGAGTGCACTTTGTTGTTCTTTATATAGTTCTGCAGGTATTCCATCTGGACCAGTCGCCTTACTGATCCCAAAGGTGCTTTTTCAAGAGGCAACTGGACTTTTTGTTTTTACTTGAAAGGAAAGGAAAAACAAAGTCCAGTTGCCTCTTGAAAAAGTACCTTTGGGACAACATTGACCTGGATGACTGAGAATCTCTGTAGACATTCTTTCTTTACTTTATTTTGTTTTACTATAAGTGCTTGAGTACCATATTCCTATTCCATTCAGCTTTTTATTTTACCTGACACAGCCAACTTTCCTTGTGACAAAGTGGGCAGAAGGATGCTTTTATACCCAACTCTTCTTGCTTCTTTTGAAAAATATTCATTACTTTTAACAGACCATGTACTTTCCACTAACATTAACTAGCATTTACACACCTTAAAAATTCCACATAAAGTTTATAACCTGTAGTAAATATCCTTCCAAGGGACACAAATGCATTTATTTCTCAAGTTTGGGGTTTGTATTTTATCATGCAATCATTCTCCAGACTTTAACCTCATTACCTTGTTCCACCTTAATTTTCAGATCCACATTCCTTATGTATTTTATGTAATATTCACAATGAACCTTTCCATTTCTCACTCAAAAACACAGCATCACTTACGTGCAAAATTAGATGTATATATTTAAGAAATTAACCAACACACTTCTAATTTTACTAAAGCATTCTTTATATTTATTCATGAATACATTAAACAAGGAGCTAACACACATTCTTGTCCTATTCCCTGTTTGTGGCTGAACCATTAGTTAAGCATGTGCTGTATGTTTTAGTGTGCTATATGTTTTATATCCATCAGATATACACTTTCTGTGAGCCTGATCAAAGCATTCCACAACTCAATCCTATTCATTTCATTAAATTAAGAAGCATACAATAGACATTTCCCAATCATTTCCCAGTCTTAATTGTCTGCTAAACAGCAATATTTAATCTCCACCCTCTGTGCCTGGAATAAAGCTGTGCTGCTCTTATCGAATTTTGCTTATTGTTAACACTCCTATCATTTTAGTCAGAATTCTGCCAATAATGCTAGGATTAGCAAGCTACCTTTAGTTGTGAATAGAAAACAATGCCATTCTTCCTATGTTAGGAACAAATGCAATCTCCACAGTTGGGTTAGACAAGTGATACTTTTGCTATCAGGCAAACCACATCCATATTTTAAGATTTTTTCCAGTATCAGTACCATCTGTACACCTAAAGACTTACCATTTTCACCATTGTTACAGCATTTTTTAATTTCCTTTTTTAGAATTTTTCCTTGGAAGCTAATACTGTACTTAACAGTATTCATTTCAATTCTACAGTTTCATTACAAACCTCACACACGTATCTTTGGTACTCCTTGCAGTGATCCCTTACTTCACAGCTTCATTTCAAAATACTTCATTCTTTTGTTTCAATTTTATTCAGTCTGGTGATGGCTTCTTATTTAGTCCTCTGTACCCATTCCTCAAACCATTTGTTTTTTCTTTCTGTCAAATTAGTTATAACTAATCAATTATGGTAATCAACTGATTAGCATTGATTCCATGTCTTCTGCCCTGATTTTGTTAACCATAAATTCAGTATTGATAAAAAATAAGAACAGCCAACTCATAGTTAAATTCTGTAGCCTAACCGTCGATTATTTCTACTCAGTTTGTTTTCCTGTTTACTGTGTTTCTTAAGTAATAAATTTTGAACCTTTAAAATTATATGTATATAATGACTTTTCAACTATGCAGTGATTATGAGGCATACTTTTTTTTTTCATTCTCTCTTTCTTGATCCATAACATTTCTTCCAGTGCCTGATGTCATTGATGGAAATACGTTTACAGCAACGGTGGTAGGCTTGAACCCATGGGTTGAATATGAATTCCGAATAGTAGCTGCCAGCCTTATTGGAATTGGGGAGCCAAGCAAACCATCAGAGAAACGAAGAACTGAAGAAGCTCGTAAGTAGGATTAGAAAAAGAAACAATATTTCGATCAATATTTTTTGATATTAAATAAAGCACATATTTGGCATAAATAGTTTCACAAGTAAGGGAGAAAGTAATTTAATATACAATTGGTCCTTGACATATGACCCTAATGGAGCTTACCCATTACAGTAATATATAGTAGCAGCCCTAAAATGGGTTGGTCACATGAATGTTAAGTGAACCAATAGTTTGATATGGATATGGTTTTACTCATTGTTTCCAAAAATAAATTATCTTTTCTGTAAATAATTTTTTTATATTTAAAAATCATCAATAAAAAACTGAAATTCACTCATAAGTACACTTAATATGTGCACTTGTATGAAATGTACAAAATATCACGACCGGCAGCAGAAATATCAGAGAGACATAGGAAAACATCAAGAATAGAGTGCGTTATTGTTAATTGTTCACAGAATCCTCATTCTTTTGCTAGAGAAAGAAGTTGCTATTAAAGAAAAAAAATGTTTTGTAAATTTAGCAATACTCAAAAATCCAAGGTTCAATCTCTCTCTGATGCAGATTTTTTTAAAAAATTAAGACCTCCCTCACTGTTCTTTCCCACTGGGGGTCATGACCCACAGTTTTAGAAAGCTGATTGAAGTCATTAGTGGCAAGAAGATTAAGGACATTGGTAGCAATGCAATTATGCAGGAAAAGCACAATAATACTTACTGCATTGAAAAGTAAGTTCATCTTAATTAAAAATATACAACAAACAAAAAATCTGGAAAATTTAGGAAAAGCAATTTTGATTATGCAAATTGCCTTGAAATTTCAAGCAACTGAGTTTGTCTTAAGTCCTAACATACTTATATCTAAAATCATTACAATAGGTTATTATAGCATCGGATTTGCATTTTGGCCTGGTTGCTACAGTACAGTATTTGTCTTCCCCTTTTGCAGTTCCTGAAGTCACACCAGCCAATGTCAGTGGAGGTGGTGGTACTAAATCTGAATTAGTTATAATATGGGAGGTAAGTAATGTACGGAGTCAGGAGGGACATCATTTGTTTTCTTAATAATCAGTTATGACTTGAAATGGTTACATCAGGCAGTAATACTTGGGAAGCATCATCTCAAGCGCTGGGTCTTTGGACAGAGAAATTGACTCCAGGATCAGCAAGACCAATCAGACAACTAAGGCGGCTTCACAATAAAGTGCTCAATAACACAATAACTTTATCTCTAAAAAAATCTACAGAGCTCAGAAGTGTGATTATCCCTTATCTCCTATATCGATAGGAGTCCTGGACTCTGTACTGAAGGCACATCAAACACAGAGAGAAATTTCACATATGTACTTTCTGCTCTAATACTGGCATTTATTCACAAGGCATGTCTCCAATCTGGAAGTCTTGGATCATGTGGAGTCCATCAGCATTGAACTCGATTATCAAAGGCCAGTTGAGATGGGTGGATCACATCTTCAGAATGGATGGCCACCATATGTCTCAGCATTTACTTTAGTACTTACTGGAATCTGGGAAGAGACCTTGAGGTTGAACACACAAGCACTACAAAGATGCTGTGAAGGAAATTCACCATCACTGTGACATCTAGCCAAGGACTACCAGAACAACTACTGTAGCAATAGCACTTAGACTTATATACTGCTTCATAGTTTACACAGTCAGCATATTGTCCCCAATAATCTGGGTCCTCATTTAACTGGTAGGATGAAAGGCTGAGTCAATCTTGAGCTAGTCAGAATCGAACTCCTAGCAATTGGCAGAATTAGCCTGCAATACTGCATTCTAACCATTGCACCACCATCCCTATTTTATACCATACATTATATGCATTTTTTTAAAAAAATGTATCATTCCTGTTTCTCATATTTATGGCTTCTAAGTCCCAAGAGACTGTAGCATTACAACCTAGCAAGTATGAGTTGGGAGTAAGCTAGGGATGTTTTAGGATCTTATTTGATGTTTATTTGTTTTAAAGATGTTAGATTTATCATTTTAATCCAGGACTAACTCAGAATGTGAGAGCCAGTGTGGCGTAATTGTTAACTTGAGGGAATATCAATGTTACAAATGTCAGCTTGAGTGTTAGGGTTGTTATATATATGCATTCATGATGGATTAATACCTTTCTATCATTCTCTCTCTTTTTTTTCCAAGTATGACCAAGGAGGAAGATATTTTTTAGACAATTATCTGCTTGAGAGAGATAGCAAGCCAGCTAGAACTCTCCTTTCACCATTGACATAGTCAACTTATTTTCTTCTTTCCAACAGTCAAAATTTATGTTTATTGGGAACAATTTTTATGAAAGAAATATAATGAAAATGATGAAAAATATAGACCTATGTTTTGTTAAACTTAGAAACGTTGCAAACAGGCTTCTTGTCAGGTAATTGCCTCAAGATTAAACTGTTTGCTTGCTACTAGTTTGCACCACACTTCCAATGCAAGTCTTCTGTTCACATCTTTGTTAAAGTAGTCATGTTCTTTGCTTCAAAATTTACACTATGTATCATCTGCAAAAGTAGAAACAGCACACAAATGTGTGTAGAGAGACATTGGTGAAAAACTGGAGAATCTGTGATCTAATAGTTTGAACAGTTTCAAAGGCCTAGGCTTTACTACTTCTAAAGAGAACTATATTTGAGCATGGAATAAATGTGCTTTAAAAATTTTGCTGAGAAAGAGGTGAAAAAAGTGAACATTACAGCACTGCTACTTGTTCTTAATTATTCAGAGAATGTGAATACATAGAAACAAATGTGGCTATAGGTTAGTTTTTTCACTTTCTGAGCTAAAAGCTTTAAATCCCTCCCCCCCCCCTCTCTCTCTCTCTCTCTCACACACACACACACACACACACACACACACACTTTATTTACATAAGGCAAAGTCTAGCTAACCAGACTAGACTTGAGGTCCAAAAGTCAAGGTGAAAAATGTGTCATGTTCTATATGATAACTCAGAAACACTATAGGTTCAGACTATTTTTTTTATAAATTCTTGCAGGCTTGGGCAATCATAATTGTATTTATTATTTGATTAATCAAATTTGTAAGGCTGCATTTCTCTCACAAAACTCTCGGTGATGCAGATATCATATAAAATATCTTCTCTCTTTATGATATAAAGAGCAGGCTTATGTGCTGACAATTAAACCAAACAAAAGCAGTGATGCAGAGAGATAACTATCAAAATATTGAGGTCTACATGTTAGATTGATGTCATAGTATTGGACAATTTCCAACCTGGGTGAAATTTTATCTCTGTGTGATTCATACAATTAGTCTATGCTCTTAATGCCAACATACAGTAGTTCCTCTGGAAAAACTACCAGAGGTAGAGAGGCTACCAATATATATATATATATATTTAGGAATGAAATAGCAGTATCCTACACCAAATATGGGATTACCATGTCAGTCTTATCACATGCCAAAACAGTAAGCCAGCACTGTTTAAATCTTAAGAGATACATTTTATTAGACTTTTTTCTGCCATCTGCTTCCAAGTTTTCACATTTTGATTGAACCTCATGGAATTCCAGAAAGCCTATTGGATATTCCTTGTTTACAAGATTGATTGTGGTGTAAGCTGACAAGATAATGTGTTCCTATCAGTCCTTCTTAGATCAAGGCTATAGGACAGGGTGGGCACTATAAATGCTTTGTAAGGTCACCCTTCTGCTGGAGGCAAAGAACAAGGTGGCATACTCTCCTATTACATTCTGTGCTATAAATTTATTGAGTAGACCAGTGTTTCTCAACTTTAAGCTATGCGGGTTTCAACTCCCAGAATTCCCAGACATGCAGAACAGTTGATATAGACAGCACAAAGGCTAAAGTAGAGTTGATGATTGATATTTTTCATCATCTATCATCCTAAAGTGGTTCCCTCCTTCTGCCTTGATGTACAGTAGCTCTTCCTATCAAAGGGAATGAGAATATAACTAATAGAATTCGGAAAAAAAACCTAAGGCATCAATTTTCCATTTATAGTAATACTAAAGAACCAAAAACATTTCTAAGCTCCACCAAGATGCTTTTAGAAAAATGTAATATGTTGCTTTTCTTATTCTGCTTCAAAAATACTGTAATAGAAACCTTTCTCACGTTTGTGACTCGGAGCTAAAGAAGGATGCTATTCAGCTATTGTTGTCAAGAATTGTAACTGCTATATAAAGCAGAAAGTAATGTTCCATCTGCATAAGCAGTTTATTCGATTCTTGAGTATAACCTTTACTTGGATCAAACCACAGCTAGTGCATTTATGGGAGACAATAAACTTACAATTGTCTCTTTGCAGATGGCTGTTAGATGCTTCTGCCTTGATTACTAACTGTCTGTAATGTTTATAAGTATAGTTTGTTTTTCTTCTAACTTACACTATTTTAGGACTAAAGGCGTTTCAGAAAGCAAATAGACTATTAAAAGGATACGAACGGTCTGAAACAAATTAGTAATAAAACATGGGATGCTTTTAGAATTGAGTGCTTATTACCTTTGCCAGGAAAAATTGTTCCAAGGTGAACTTCTTCATTCTTCCGGGATAAATGTTATTATGCCTCTTAACAAACACAACTTATTCATCAACCTGTTTCCATGTTTCTTCTCTTGGTATAGACAGTGCCAGAAGAGTTACAGAATGGAGGAGGCTTTGGCTATGTTGTTGCCTTCCGCCCAGTTGGTACAATAAGCTGGATGCAGACAGTAGTGGTTTCACCAGATGCCTCCAAATACGTCTTTCGGAATGAGAGTTTACCTCCATTTTCTCCTTACGAAGTTAAAGTTGGAGTATACAACAACAAAGGAGAAGGTCCTTTCAGCCCTGTCACGGTTGTTTATTCAGCTGATGAAGGTAAGCATAGCCAAATAATCTGGCAGTATATGATAAGCTGGTTGTTTTCGAAATGGCCTTGCATCCCTCTTATTGTTAATGTCCACATATGCTGCTAAGAAATGGCATGTACCCAATTTTAGGTTTCATTCTCTTGTAAATTAATATTAATCATGGTGACATTTTGTTTGAAGAATGAGATAATTCATTTGAGACATGCATTACGTTACACTGCTCAGTGAGAGGTTTAAGAGGACCTTTTGGGTCAAAATATTTTCACAAATTAAAATGTTAATTTTTCATTTTCATGCTTAATGGCACTATTATCAGTGTTGGCAGCACATGCAGTAGCATGTTTGCATATTAAGTTTAAACCTATTGCGAAATTACATTAGGATTGTGATAATGTTTTATAAGGCCTTTTGATAATTGCTAACCCTATTTTATGTGTATGTATGTGTGTACATATAAACAGATATGAATAATTAATGTCTGTTGCGCATTTATTCTCTGAAGAATGATACTGAAATTTAGCATGAATTAATCTTGTCTAATTATGAACTATTCCCTTATCTGTGTATAGCAGTACAATTTTCTCTAAATTAATTTTAGCAATAAAATCTTGCTTGATTTTTTTAAACATAATTGGATAATCTCCACAATGAAGATAGTCATATTCAGCTGTAAATCATAACCCATACAAGTTCAGTCTTTAAAGTCTGAATCTAATCACAGAGTTTCAAATTAATCTTGAATTCAGTTTTGTCTTTAACTCAAAGTCAGATTTTGCCTAAATTTCTGAAGATTGGCTAGTAAACATATTTAAAAATAGTCAGCCTAGCTCAGCCTGATTACAATCATGTTCAAAAGATCTAAAAGCTGAAAATAATCAGGACTTACTAGCTGCTCTTCCTGAAAGAAATCAACCCTGATTGTTCTTTGGAAGGACAGATACTGAAGCTGAAGCTTAAAAGCTTTGGCCACCAAATGATAAGAGACGACTCATTGGAAAAGACTCCGATGTTGGGAAAGATTAAAGGCAAACGGAAAAGGGGACGGCAGAGGATGAGATGGTTAGACAGTATCATTGATACAATGAACATGAATTTGGGCAAACTCTGAGAGACAGTGTAAGACTTGAGGGCCTGTTATCCTATGGTGCTTGAAATCACAAAGAGTTGACACAACTTAGGTTGTCTAATTTAATGAAGAGAAGGACGAGAGGGGGACATAATAGCAGTGTTCCAATATCTCAGGGGCTGCCACAAAGTAAAGGGAGTCAAGCTATTTTCCAAAGTACCTGAAGGCAGGACAAGAAGCAACAGATGGAAACTAATCAAGGAGAAAAGCAACCTAGAACTAAAGAGAAACTTCCTGACAGTTAGAACAATTAACCAGTGGAACAACCTGCCTCCAGAAGCGGTAAATGCTCCAACACTGGAAGTTTTTAAGAAGAGACTGGACAGCCATTTGTCTGAAATGGTATAGGGTTTCCTGCCTGAGCAGGGAGTTGGATTAGGAGACCTCCAAGGTCCCTTCCAACTTTACTATTATTATTATTATTATTATTATTATTATTAAACACTAGCTCTTCTTTCAGATGTTTGCCATTTTTTGTTTGTGTCTATAGCCACAATTTCACAAATGCCTATGAATTCAATCATAGGATCTATACATTTCCCTCAACTGTAAACATGTTAACATCCACCTAACCGGGAAGATTTTAGACAGATATAAAAGTGTAACTGCTAAATGTGATACTATTCTCTACTTTTGCTCCTCATCTTGCCTTCTGCTTGTAACATTTACATAACATTTAATGTGACTGGCAGCGAATGCAAAAATTAGTTACATCCAAAAGATGGTAACAAGTCTAATTTGAGTTATAAATTATGTTACAGATGATGCCACCATTAAAAAAGGCACCGCTATAGGGGTTTTTTGCCATCTTTCATCTTCAAACCAATGCAAATATAAGCTACAGTAGAAGCATAAAAACATTCAAAATTATTTCTATCCTCCACCACTTTACTTTTAGGAGCACAGAATTAATTTGGTCTTGGCCTTATACTCTATAAATTAGAGATTTCAGATTAAATATTACATAATATTTTCATGTGGCTTGAACAGAAGTTCCTTCTACTACAGCAGTGCCCAACCGTTCTGGTACCAGGGACAGGTTTCAGAAGAAAAATGGTCTTCTGCAGACTAGGGGAGGATAGTTTTGTATGCAATCTAGATCCCGCACATGCACAGATGAAGCTTCGCTCACTTGCACACTACTTGTGCAGCCCAATTCCTAACAGGCCGCAGGCAGATATCGGTCTGAGGAATGAGAATTCCTGTTGCAGTAGGATGATAGGATGCTATGCATAAGCACAATTTTCAGAGTTCTGAGTAAACCAGGTTCTTAATAGATGGCCTAAGGTCATCTATAACTGATTTAGCTTGTGGATTCCAAAATTAGTGATATTTGTAGGTGTGATGACTCTGCAGCTAATTATTGTGCTTTTTTTTTATTTTTTAGAACCCACCAGAGTTCCCACCAATGTCTTTGCCAAAAGCCTTTCTGCTTCAGATATAGAAGTCTTTTGGTCTTTGCTGCCACAGATCCAGCGCAAAGGAAGCATACAGGGCTATGAGGTAGGTGCATTACTTTTTCATTCAGGGTTGTTGTGGCTTATAATGTTTACTGGTTTTTAATGCATGAAAAAACTATTAACAAATGAAATACAAATCTAATTGCTATCAATGAGCTTCAGAAATATATGGCTTCAGTTCTTAATGCATCCGGCTGCAAATAAAAATCTTAAAATGTTTCAATAAGTGCAAATCAGCCATTTGCTACCTCCCCAAATTCCTTGAACTATGCAACATATAGTCTAAATCCCACTTTGTATACTGTGTTACAAAATGCTGTTTTTCTTCTCATGTTCACACGACTAAATAAATATTATTTTTAGTTAGATTACAATAAAATAATTAACTAGAGCAGTGATGGCAAACCTTTTAGAGACCGAGTGCCCAAACTGCAACCCAAAACCCACTTATGCATTGTTGGGTGCCGGGTGGATGTGGCCCATTGGCTGGGTGTGGCCCATTGGTAATGGTAGACTGGGTGGGACTAAAAAGTTCAATCAATCAATTCCAACTTTGCAAGATTTTTTTTCCCACGAGGAGTTGAAATTGACTGATTGATAGAACCTTTTTGTTTTTTTGCACACGGCGGCGGAGGCCTAAAGCGAAAAGGTTTTATAAAACCCAGCTGAAGGCCTAGGACTGGGCAACAGTGCATGTGCCCCCAGAGAGGGCTCTGACTGCCACCTCTGGCACCCATGCCATAGCTTCGCTACCACTGAACTACAGGTTAAAATGGGAAATTTTTTTCTTCTATGTCCTGTAGAGAGTATGCTATCTTGAAAACAAGCATGTAAATGGAACATCACGTGATATAAGCAAGGAAGTTGTTAGTTGTAACATTTGATAGAAAGGGATTATTTTCTTCATGCATGAAATAAATATTTAGAATGGCTGCTGCCTGTTGAAACACAGGCATTACAAAAATTTAGGAAGAGCTGTGAAAGTTCTAAAAATTAATTAAGGTGCTGTTATTGTTTATATTAAAGTTGTATTATTGTATTAAAATTAAAGTATGGCAAAACCTCTTAGTAGTAAAGGTATTAATATCACACATCTCATTTGATATAAAATCAGAAATGTTTATCCCTGATTTTAACCATCCATCCAGAATCCAAGCAAATATTGAACAGAAGTTCTTTGCTTATATAGGGCACATAGACGTTGAAAGGAGAGGATTAATTTGCTATTAAGATGATAATAATAACAGCAGTGTTAAAGAGAGATGAATTTTAGCAATTGGTATTTTATCATCTACAAATTTTATCAATTACAAATTTAGTAGTATCAATTTAAACCTAATGGGCACATGTGAATTCTTTTAAAACCTAAAGACGCATGTAACAGAAACTCATCTATTTGGAATTGTAATGCAGATAATATAAACTTATATAGCTGTAGATTTCAAATAAGGATACATTTAAATATGTGTGCATAGGTTAGATATTGGAAACATGGAGATAAAGAAGAGCAGGCTGGAAGAATGAAAACTATGACCAATCAGACTTTTGCAAAAATCACCAACTTGAAGAGCGGTGCTTTATACCACTTGGCTGTCAAAGCTTACAACACAGCAGGGATGGGACCATCCAGCGCTATAGTCAATGTGACAACCAAAAAGCCACGTGAGTATGGTGCATGGGGGTAGACAGGATTTTTATTCTAATGAACAGATTGTCTTCACTTAACAAGGGTTATTGAGACCACCAATTTTGTTGCTAAGCAACACGATTGTTAAGTGCAACCTCATGTGATTGTGTTGTGTACAATCGCAGTTGCAGCAATCCCAGTTGCCATCATTAGATGTACCCTGCACAGTTGCCGCATCCTGTGGTCATGTGATTACTATTTGCAATCTCCAGCCAGCTTCCCTTACCATGTGGCTTGTTGAAAGCCAGCAAGTGAAGGTTGCCAATGGCAATTACATGATTGCAGGGCACTACAATGGTTGCCACTCTACAATGATCCTCCTCATTCAGCACCATCATAATTTTGAGCAGTCATTGAATGAGTGGTTGTTCAATTAGCACTGCCTGTATTTTAATTGATTATACTTCTGTGAGTGCTGCTATTCATTCAGCCTTCATTTTATAATTGTGACACAGAAAATTAAAAGCTGACCAGAGAAAATAAATATTTGTTTTTTGTTCAGAACAAGGCCTGCTCCCAACTGTCATCAGTATACAGAACTATTGTCCAATTTTGTTTTACTATATATGTTTCTCACATTATAAAGTGTTATAAATTTGTCTATTTGTTATAAAACATGCATCTTTGACTTAGAACACCTGACGTACATTATAGACAAGTCTATGTTATGTAAGAAAAATCTTGCTTCTTAATAATATTCAAACTTCTGTGTTTTGAATTCAGCTCCAAGTCAGCCTCCTGGAAACATTATATGGAATTCATCAGATTCTAAGATTATACTGAACTGGGATCAAGTTAAAGCACAGAATAATGAATCTGAAGTGAAAGGATACAAAGTAGGTAATGGGCAGGAAAACATGATTATTTGTACAATTAATGTGAATTAATTGCAAAACACAAATCTCATAAAAGAATCACAAACTGAGTTAGTTTACTTGGGCTGTATAATCCTATTAGCCCATTACTAACTTTCTATTTAAGTAATTTTTTTTAATAAAATAAAAGGTACAGATTTCCCCTCTCTAGTCATGTCTGATTCTAGGGGTCAGTGCTCATCTCTGATTCACAGCCAAAGAGGATTGTCCGAAGACAGTTGTGTGGTCATGTGGCTGGCATGACTATGTGCCAAAGGCACACAGAATGCAGTTATCTTCCCATCAAAGTGGTACCTATTTATCTACTTGCATTCACATGCTTTTGAACTGCTAGGTTGGCAGAAGATGGGGCAAGTAACAGAAATTTGCTCCATCATGTGATACTTAGGTCTCATTGCCAACCTTCCAGACAAGCCCAGCATTTTAACTGCTTGACTGCCATGCCCCTTATTAAAATAATTAGTGTTCACTAAATATATCTAGCAACGTAGTGGGCCCCTAGTAAAACTGAATGTTTTCCTTATGTCTCAATGTCATTAAAATATTATTCAAAAACATAAATTAGCATTTGTGCAGCAAGTACAAATCCTACAAAATAAAGATGCCAAACTAGCCTCAACCTTGTGTCACGGGAGCAAGCTTCTAAATCACCCTATAAAGTCCTGGAACATGGATGTCTCCTGGAACTCCTGACCTCTCAAAGCTAAATGAAGAGAAAAACAGCTTTAAGAAATAAAAGAATGGGTCAGAAGTTTCTTCTAATGTACAGGAAGACATAACCCCATAGAAAACAAGTCATTTGCATTAGAGAACCTAAGGTACTTTGTGCTTAGAAAAAGAAATTATTTCTATTATAGCGTAATTCTTTTTAAACATTAATTTCCCTTAACCAAATATATGTTGCAGGTGTTCTATAGATGGAATAGACAAAACAGTATGTCTATTATAGAGACAAACAAAACATCTGTGGAGCTTTCATTGCCCTTTGATGAAGATTATATCATAGAAATAAAGCCAATCAGTGATGGAGGGGATGGCAACAGTAGTGAACAGATTCGAATTCCAAAGATAACAAGTAAGAGTGTTTTATTTATGGCATTAGTTTACCTAAGTATAAAGTGTATGAGTTAAAAACATACCTTTCTACTTTTTTCCTTTCTACTTTTGCAACTGACTGAAGAGATAAAATCTGTTTTATCCCCAATATCTTTAAAATGCTAAATGGCTCTGACTAAAAAGATGCCTGAACAACTGGAACTACTGTTGTTTCTTATCAGATTTTGACTTCAGACTGCTCTGGAATAAATCTGTAGGTTTCTAGAGAACCAGAAGTGTTCCATAGATGTAGCATAGTTTCAAAGTTCAATTGGTAGTGATTAAAATAGATGGTATCTTTGTGTTACATCAATGTAGCATAGTTTCAAAGCTAGTTGCTAAGAATTAACATAAGACAGTATCTTCTTGCTGGAAGCAATATAGATATGAAACAACTCCAACTACTGTATTAAAGCATAATTACTTTGGATTACAATTTTACATGTGCATACCATTAAAAATAACAGTACATAAAGTTGATGAAACTGATAACTACATTCTTTTGGGTTTGATGTGAGATGTAATATACACAAATTTATTAGAGAAATAAGTTTCAGTGACCATCTCATCTAATAGCAATAGTACTTAGACTTATATACCATGCCATAGTGATTCTCTGAGCAGTTTACAGAGTCAGCATAGTGTCCCCAACAATCTGGGAATTCGTTTTACTGACCTTGGAAGGATGGAAGGCTGAGTCAACCTCGAGCTGATTGAACTCTCCCGGCTGTGGGCAGTGTTTGCCTGCAATGCTGCCATATTGCATTCTAACCACCATAGTTCCATATAACTACTGCTTTACCACGGCTGATTTAGGTCTTTCCATTTGGCATTACAATCATGCAGCAAGACAAAAAGATAGAGAAAACATGAAGATGTCAATTTTAAATTGTATGCTAGAGCAGTGCTGCATGAGAAATAAGCCTCATCCCCCCCCTCTCCTAGCTAAAAAGACAAGCTGAACTATTCTTGAAACACTACACAATTCAAGATTTCAATTTGTCTTGTTTCATTTGTCATTAATTGTTGAAGGCTGATATTTTAACTCAAAGTGAAACTATTCATTACACCAGAATATTTCTCTGCAGGGGCAGAATACTATCCATTTTAGGGAAAATAAAGAATATCTAAAACAATATTGCCAGAAGAAAATTAAAATGAAATAGGATCCTTTGCAGTCACTGCCTCTTTTGCCTTCAACAAAGGACTCTACAGAAAATTCAAAGATGCACACTGAGCTACTTTCTTACTCAATAGATATTTTGTCATAATTATTTTGAAATTCCCAAATTCATTGATACGTAAGGCTATGTGAACTAGAAACATTTTCATCAGATCTATGAAAAATATAGATTATGTAGGAAAGATTATGGAAGATCTATCCTTGCAGTTACTTCTTAGAGAAAAGTAGGAGTAAACTATTTTCAGCAGTGCTGCTAGAAAAACTATGTGGATATCTCCCTGAAAGTAAAAGAACTGAGACTGACTTCAAACCTTCTTTACTTTATAGAGTGAAAATAGTGAAAACGATAAAAAATAAATATGGAAAGCTGTACAAGCTGTTCCTTAATTAGGATGAAAAGGAACATTCTGTATAGCAGTGGAAACTTGAAATAATTTTTTCTCATTTAGATATGATATGCATGTTTTGCAGTCTTTATATAAAAGCATTTTATCTGAAACAGTTGTGTGGAAAATGTGTGCATGACATCTGAGGCAGAACCTTCATTCATTTGTTCAAGTTAAACATTTTGATTTCTTTTTCCCCTAGATGCATATGCGAGAGGGTCAGGAGCTTCAACTTCAAATGCTTGTACGTTGTCAGCCATCAGCACAATAATGATTTCCCTCACAGCGAGATCAAGTTTATGACAAAAAATACTGAAAGGACTTCCTGTTTATAATATAACTAAGCAACATTTAGCTAGTTGTTTTGAAGCCACCCAGTACTAAGTAATATTGTTGTTCAAGTACATCTTACTACTGGGGAAAAAATGTTTTATGCTTCTCTAGGAATGGCATTATACAGTACTTCCTCAAAGCAAATATATCTTTGTCTGAAGTTTCCTTGGAAACTCTGCAATGCACTGAAAACATCTGTAATACGATGTTACCAAAGCAGTTTACATATGTCCTTATATGCATATTTTTATTATATATTTAGTGTTTTATAGACTTTTTTAAAGTTAATATATGATGTAGATATTGATTTCTTTTCCCCTCTGCTATGAAATGCTATTGATGACATTATCATTGCATAAATATATAGTTTGGAATGTTTCAGGCCAGATGGCCATAATTGTCAGTAACTGATTTCAAATTGATTGTATAGGTTGACAAGAATGCACAATGAATTCTTTTACCTTCAGTCCATCTTTCCAGGTGTGTGTGTGTGTGTGTGTGTGTGTCTGGGCATGGAAAAGATTTCCACAGTTATTTGATGAAGACTGCCATCTTATTCAGGCCTAAATTTGCTACAGCTATGCACATTGCATTATAACGCTTCAAAAAAACACTTATAACTCAAGGCTTCCACTTGGGTTCACTCTAATTCCCTCTGAAGAAGAAAGATAATTAGATGCTAGATAACCACAATGAAACACAAACTTTATGCTCCTTGCCAGGCAGGGTAGGTATCTAGAGCAGGGGTGTCAAACTCAATTTCATTGAGGGCCCCATCAGCATTGTGGATGCCCTTGGGGGGTGGGGGTGAGGCCAGGGTGGATGTGGCCTACTGGGTGTACATGGATGAAGTGGGTGTAGCCTACTGGGTGGACATGGCCAGCTCTACATTGTTCACGTCAAGGGTGCCTGTGGGGGCCTGGGCAGGAATGGGACAGATCTGAGGGTCTCTGGCAGAAGGGGGTGGGACCGGAACAAGCGCCAAAGCATGGTCCATTTTTTCATTCCTCACAAAGGGTGACACCTCCCCAGCATGCACTCGGAGCGGGGCCGACGTGGCATTGGCTGGTTCCTCGCTGTTTCTAGATGGCCTTGTGGAGCTAAGACTGAATGTGTTTCAGCATAGATGGCCACCACAAAATTGTACAATGGCTCCCAGCTGGCCAGGGCCAAGGCAGAGGGGGCCGTTCCCTCACTGTTTCCAGGATGGCTTTGCGGGCCACATGAAACCACTTAGCGGGCCACATCCGGCCCCCGGGCCTTGTGTTTGACATGTCTAGAGGATGGGGCAGGGCAAGAGATAGAGAGAAGAAAAAAATTCAGCATAACTTTTCCAGATCTCCTTCACATATTATGCAGAATGAGATTAATCATGCCACTGTGGACATACAGGACTGCTTTTTTTTATCAGATAAATAAACTACAAGTAAAACATGCTGTGTGTTTGCTTTCAGATTTTGTGAAAGTTCATGACATTCTTTCCCTTACGATAATGTTTTGGTAAGACACGATTTTTTACCTGAATATACTGATTTACAGTTCTATAAAATTGAACAAACATTAAATTATCATTCATTCCTCTTAGTGTCACCACTCTTAATATAATGAATGCCAGTGATTGCTACTGTATAACAAAGGACAAGATTTTGAGTATGGTGAAAATCTGAAAGTTATCAGTTCAACAATGTATGTTAATTTTTTTTATTTAAATAAATGAATAAAATTCTGCATTTTCACCATTTTAATCATGAAATCTTGAAGACTTTAAATGCTGCTTTCTTTACTAAATAAATTTATTTTGACAGGTACATGTAATCTACAATTCTTTATAGATTGATTTCATAAATTGACTTATTGGATTACCTGTGTTCTATATTGATAAGATCTTGCTTAGCTAGGGGTCATTTTAAAAATCTGATAAATAATATCTATAGAATACTTCTCTAAAATTAGTTTTCTTTTTAAGAACAATTTGTATGTCTCATTGAATTCAAATAGTTTAATTCTGAGTGTTCTGAATATCAAGGTTTAACTTTTCAGGGTCTGCCATATCTACATCTCTATCATGTTGATAAACCCCCATTAAAATCTGACAAATGAATTCAAATCATCATAATGCTTTTTTCATGCTATTGCCATTCATTGCAGTAAAACCGGTACTGGAGCAGAGTTTGTTAATACTAATCCAGTGGCTTGAAAACTCATGTAGTTGCTGTATTGCACTTACAAGTACGCTTGTGCAGAATTCTGTGCATGCACAAGAACACTGGATAATTGTCAAAAATTGCAAGAAAAATATATTAATAGAAAAAGATTTTTGTTACTATGGGAAATATTTTGTAATTATGCTCAGATGAAACAATAATAATTAAAATTAAAATGACTTTATTTTCCCCAACTTTAAAAATATACTACCGAAGTTTATAATTTGTCCTTCTTGATAGGTTACATTTTCCTCTAACTTGTCTCTTTTGCTTCCAAAACATGCAAAGTAACTTTTAAAACATTCAATATATATTTATTAAGTAACTCATAATCAGGTTTCCACTTGTGTAAGTTGGGGATGTTAATCAGAGAAATATTGTCAGTATTTCAAGCTGTGTTCCTTTTCTTTGTTTGATATGGTTACTTCTATGTAAAAACAAAAACAAAACAAAAAAACCCACAAAAGAAAGAAAAAAGAAAAAAAGCCTATGTAGTTTTTCTCCCAAGTGTAAATCATATTTATCAGTGATCTAGCAGATGTAATCTTTTTTAAAGTTATTGGTAATAAATATCCTGTTATTTGTAAAGATTCTTGTCTCTGTGGGGTATGTTTCTTGCATTCTTACTCCGTACGTAACTCCACTGCATCTTGATTTCAAAAACTTACAGAAAGTGCTTGAAATATTTATCACTTTCACTATAAATTGAATTATGAAAATGCATTACCCAATGGGTTATACTCAGTGTTTTTCAAAGCAATTCTAACTATAAACACACACATGTACACATACATGGAGAGCTGAGGTTCCATTCCTCACTGAAAAGCCATGGTAATAACTTCAAAAGCCATAGTAATATCATCAAGAAGTATACAATCCAGAAACATTCGTACCTCATCGTCTCCCAGAGGCTTCCCTTGGGAAAATTGGCCTGTTACAAACAAGAACAATAATCCATGTGCAGATTTTACAGATGACAATAATGAGGTTTCTTTGCAGGTTCAGTATAAACCCAATTTAATGAACTCTACAAAAAACCTTTCCCTTCCCTGCAGTCCCAATAGTGCATCATGCTTGGCTTGCAGAGAAGGAAACATCTTAATTAACATGGCGAGTATGGGAGGAGACACAGGATTACCTCACAATGTTTGTGAGGAACTTCTACCCCATCCCACAAATATGACCTTTTATTCAGTTTTAATATCAATGCTGCTTAGATAGCCAAAAGTTCCATTATGGAGACATAGAGCAAGTATGTATATATCTTACTGAAAAACTAACTGTATTAGACATTTGAGTAAAATATAAATTGAATTAAGAAAAAAGGAATAATTTTGTAGGGAGTCCAAACACATCTGTATGGTAATCAAACCTGTGCCACCCATCTCATCTAGATAAAATTCAGCTCTGTAATGATCCAAGGAGATGAATAGTGACAACAGAAATCATAACTTTCACCCCCTAAATATGGTTACTTATCAGAACCTTGCAAATAATGAAACATGGAGCAAATGACAAATCAAGCCCACTACAGTGAAGTGATAGAAGGTTTTAAAAAACAATTCTTCCAAGTCCTATGCAGAAATATGTCATGATATTTTTTGCAGGGAAGGCACTACCAACCTAAGGCATTTCTTCCTTTCAGTTCAGGTGGGCAACTTGAAAAAATTAGACCAATATCACTATTAAATGTAGATTACAAAATCTTTGCCTCAATAATGGCAGAAAGACTAAATAATTTTTTGATTGAATTTATACATACAGACCAAAATGGTTTTCTACCTAAAAGACAGATAAAAAATAATTTCAGAATGATTCTTGATGTGTTAGAGTACTTTGAAATTCATTCAGGGAAACAGATGGCTTTAATATTCCTTGATACACAGAAAGCGTTTTGACAATGTATACTGGCAATTTATGTTTCAGCGATTTGCAGAAATGGACTTTGGAAAAAACTTTATAAATGTAAACAAAACAATTTATTGCAAACAAACAGCCAAAATAATTGTAAATGGAGATCTTACAGAAAACTTCAATATTAAAAAGGGCACAAGACAGGGATGCCCATTATTTCCATCACTATTTATGCTAACATTCAAACTACTGAATAGAAACATTAGACAAGATATAGAAATTAAAGGACTGGAGATAAAAGATGAAAAATATAAACTACAAGCATTTGCAGATGATTTGGTTTTCTTATTGGAAGATCCATTGGAAACAAGCACCAAACTTCTGGAGAAAATAGAAAAATTTGGAGAAGTGGCAGGGTTGACAATAAACAGAGAAAAGACTAAAGTGCTAACAAAGAATCTAACAGGAAAACAAAAAAACTAACAAAAAAGACAAATCTTCAAATAGTTAAAAAAGTTAAATATTTGGTAATTTATCTAACAGCAAGATGTGTAACAATAAAAGAAGATAATTGTGTAAGACTGCTAAAACAAATAAAATTGGATTTGGAAAAGTAGAAAAACTTCCAACTTTCAATGTTGGAGAGAACAGCAACAGTGAAAATGAATATCTTACTAAAAATATTCTTTTTATTTCAAACAATTTCTGTTAAGGCTAGGAAAAGCCTTTTTTTGATGAACTGAATACAGTAACATTGAAATTTATCTGGCAAGGAAAAAAAGCTAGAATTAAAGTGAAAATGCTACAAGAAGTGAAAAAAAGTGGAGGATTTGGACTGCCGGACTGGAGATTATACTACCAAATATCTATTCTAACATGGCTTAAAGAATGGATAATGTTTAGAGATAAAAGACTATTGTATCTAGAGGGGCATGACCTACAAATTGGTTAACATGCTTTTCTGTGGTATGGGAAGAATAAAATACATAGATACTTTCAGAACCATTTTATAAGGAATGTACTTTTTTCCGAATGGGAAAAAATAAAAGGAAAAAATTATATTAAGATACCTGAATGGCTTTCAACAATGGAAGCTTTTGCTTACCCAAATTTAATTAACTACAATAAAGTTGTGACTTATAAAGACATTTTGGACAATGAAGGAAAATTGAAAGACAGACAAGATCTACAAGAACAAGGTATTGATCTAGCATGGTGGCCATATCTGCAAATCCAAACAAGATATGAAAAAGATGTTAAAACAATAGGATTTTATAAAGAACAGAAAGAATTTGATCAGATACTGCTAAAAACAGATGAAAAGTTGATTAAGAAACTCTATAGATTTCTGTTAAACTTAAAGATGGAGGAAGAACAAGTAAAAGAAACAATGACAACATGGGCAAAG